GATGTCTTGGTGTTTTGACGACTTGGGCGAGTCCTCGGAGTGGATCAAAGGAGCATCTCCTAGGCTCCTCGGGCACACGCGCGACATGCCAGTCCACCCCCACCCCCAGCCCCACCCTGGCCTGGGACCCTCACGAGCCCTGAATGCTTCCTGCTCCTTTTATAAGTGACAAGTTGTACCCTTAGCTTTCTACGTTTTGAGGTTGTGTCATGTGTGTATGTGTTTATATGTGTCATTCCTCCGTCCACTGCCTTTTTCAGCGTGTTAAAATCTTTACTTTTCATTTAGTGTTCTGAGGTATGAGAGGTATCCTTAAGGGCAGAAAGATTGTGGCCCCAGCCTGAGATCCCCTGCCCTGCTTTGGTGAGGAGCTGCCTCCACCCCGGACTGTGCAGAAACCCTAAATAATCCCCTCTTCTTGGTCTCCCCTCTTTTCTCTTTACTTTCTTAGCATTTTATCCTAGACTCTAAGAAGAAGGTACGTTTTAAACATCTGGTTTCAGATATTCAGTTTCAAAGGAAAGAAGTTGCTTCCTTCACAGCTGGTTAAGACCTTGTGAGCTGGCAGGGCCCTGGTGCTTACCAGCTTAGGTGCTGGTTTCGGCTCCTTCGCGGGAACCTCCCCGTGGGTGGCTGCCTTCGTCCCGCTCCACGCCGTGGGTGGCCCTTGGACTCACCGTGTGTTCGTGCCAATCAGGGCTGGTGAGGTTGACTTCCCACCCGTTCTGTACTGTCCACTTGAAGGGATGTTGCCTGGTCCCATGGCCGGCAGCCATGGCATGACCAGCCCGACCTGGTCAGACCCTCACGAGGGACAGTTAACACTCTCCATCCAGAACTGGTGCGCCCACCGAGTTACTCATGTTTGTGACTGGCCTTCGGGGCTGACACTGAAGCTCCTGTGGGGCAGGTGGGCAGTTTCTGGTGTCAGTTTTGAGTGATAAGTGGGGCAGTAGAGAATGTGGTTTTCCCTGAAGCAGACACAACATGACACTCAGAATTTCTCAGTGAGTCTTGAGAAACAGTGGAGCCCATGTGAGGGGGGAGTGTACTTTTAGTGGGGCTGAGTTTCTGGGAAGTTACCTAGAAAGGGTTTCTGCATGCCAACTTCTCTTTCTCCTTGAATTTTGATGGAATCCTCGGCCAGGTGATATCTGTGGTCAAATATTGATGTCTGCCCTGATTTGGGAGGGACTGGGGCATGTGCATGCCCTCGACTTCGGCTTTCTCAAGCCTGGGCTTGGATGTCTGGGATTTTGAGAGGAGTGTATGGCATCTGAGTGGGGCAGGAGGTACCGGGGGGCTGTTGGCTAAGGAAACGGATCTGGTCTCTGTGGGCTTTCCTTGCTCTCAGGCATGTTTTGGTTTCTAAAGCTACACCTTCTGAGTGTCTTCAATCGCCAGCCCCTCTCGCCCCACCCAGTGCTCCAGACAGTGGCTGGCCTCCTCCACCGCCACCCTCCTCCTCCTGCTCACTGCTTCTCTCTGGGCACAGCCCTTCTTCCGACCTCAGCTCTTCCTCCTGGAACTCCCTGTCTCCGTGGGAATGGTTTCTGATGTTGTCCAAGTGGAATTAACTTCCCAGGTTACCAAGCTTCCACAACACATCCAGGTCACATGAGAATGGCCATCAAAAAGCCTGTACTTGTTTAAAAAGTTATTTTTTTCTTACATTCTTGTAACGTATGTTATATGAACATGGTAAAAAATTGGAAAACCCAAATAAGCAGAACTTTTGAAAAATAGGTTCCCCAGTTGATACCTGGACATGTGGTTACCTGTTCTGGAGCCTTTTCTGACATTTCCTACAAACTCAGCATGCACATACTTTACTTAAAATTTTTTATTTTACAAACTTTAAAAAATGAGGACAAACCTACAGAAAAGTGGTCAGATTATAAGGATACATACGGCTTGATTATCACAAAATACGTGGACCCATAGTCCCACAACCAGTCCCTTCTAGAACCTTTCTCAGGGACCATCCCACCTGCCTGAGAGCTTAGTCTTACCCGTTTTTGGATTTTACATAAATAGCACTGTATCTGTACATAGTTCTTTAATACACACATACACATGTATGTGTATATATTTATATAAAAATGGGTTCATTCTATAAGTCCTATTCTGTAATGTTTTCATTTATCAGTAGTTGATGACTGTCTATAAATATGGATCTCCCTTATTTTCTTGTAAATGATGGCACAGTATTCCACGGTCTAGAATGTGTCCCTCTGTGTTTAACCATCCTACTGTTGTTGGACATTTAGGTCGTTTCCGTTTCATTTGGAATGATAAACAGGACTTTTATATGCAGTAGCTAAAATCTTCTGGGCATCTGCAATTATTTCCTTAAGAGAGATTCCTGGGAGTGGGCTGACTGGGTCAGAGGGCACAGGTTTTTCCTTTGCTCTGTGGCCCCCGGTGTGTCTTCATGTGGCCTGGTACCAGCCCCCACCTCCTCCCCGAGTCCAGATGGAATTAATTTCCCAGGTAGTGGGGGTTCCTGGCCCAGTGGGCTGCCTCCAGTCTCTGCACTGCTGAGGACCAGTCCTTCGCAGCCGCTTGTCCCCAGGCTTTGGGTGGCACTAATCAGATTTTGTTTTATTTTCCAATAGCGTTGTGTGGTGCTTCGTTTTCTGAAGTTTCCTCCAAATAGAAAGAAGGTAAGATAAGTGGATTTGCCACCCAGCCATTAAAAGAATTATTTAAGAAAACTTTGATTTTTTTTTCTGATGCAGAAGCGTTAATGCTAATTTTGGAAATTTGAATATGACACAAGCATTCAGTTCCCGCAGAATCCAGCGCTTTGACCTGCTGGGGTCACTATGGGTCATCTTGGTGAATCCCTGGGTACTGAGCCAGGAGCCTCCGGTCCAGCTCAGAGAGCCCCGCTTGTGGCTGGGAAACCCAAGGGCCAGGTCTTGGCTTTGCCATGGTGATTTCCTAACACTCTGCTGCCTCAGTTTCCCCATCTGTGGGACTGTATCTATGAAAATGAAATCTGTAATGCTGTGGGAAGCGGTGTTGCAAGCCGCAGCAGGCAGTTCAGATGGAGCACTGGGTTTCTGCTTGCTGAGTCGTCCGAGAACAGTACTGCGGACACCTTCGGAAAGCCATGCCCGCTGACCACTGACTTGCAGCGTCTGTCCCTCGAAGTGGGATGTCACTGTGGTGTTTATCCAAATCTCAGTGATCGCAGGGTCAACATGGAGTAGCCCTGCTGGAGTCTTTCCTCTTTCACGGTCCTGGAGGGAGGGAAGGAGGTACAGAGGTGGGGTGTGAGCATCGGCTCTTAGCTTAAAACGGGAGAAAAGGCAGGAGCTGCAGGGCACTCCCCACTTAGTGGGACAAGACCAGTGTTCGTCCCGGTGGGTGGGAAACTGGGCTCAGGATCCGGGTGTAGGAGGGATGAGTCACACACCCCATCAGAAAAGGAGGTGTGGTGGATGGCTGCTGGGTGCTGGTGGCAGCTGATTATGCAAATGAAGGGCACCCTTGGAGGATAGCTTCCTAGGAAGTGAAGAGGGCACTGTGGGAGAAAGCGAGGGGCAGCCGTCGCAGTGGGGCTGCAGTGAGATCCCGGGACAGTGTGGTCAGCACAGAGAAAGATGGCACAGGATGGGAGGGTGCAGCTGCCGAAGAGAACTGTGCAGCGTGGTTCTGTTTCTGCAGAATCCAAGTGGAAACTAGGCACATCTCGGAGATTCCCTCCAGCCCCCCTCCCCTCCCCCTCCTTCCCCACTCAGAGTCTGCAGAACCAGGGCCAGCGTTTTCTGGATGGGCCAGCGTTTTCTGGATGCCTCTGTTTTCAGTTTTCCCTGTTTAGATTTATTGAGGCAATGTCTTCCAAGGCAACAATTTGCCTTTCTTTATTATGTAAATGGCACAATGTGCCGCCAGCTGCATTGTTTGTGGGGAATGTGTGTGTTAATTTTGCTGACAAGAAGAGCTTTTTGTTGGAAGCTCTGTGGTCACAGCTCTCCGGAGCCACTGTGTGCACTCTGGGGTTTTTGTCCAGCTTCATGCTAACTCAGTAGTCCCCCAGATGCGGGCCATGGTCTGCATGTGTTACGGACCTCCCCAGAGCCTGAGCCATGTGTCAGGCACCTGTCAGCCTGCCCTCGAAGAAGAAAGCCCTCTCGCTCCTGAGAGAGACCTGCAATCAACCCTTTGGGTCAGAGTGAGAAACACAGGACTGATTTTCTGTCTTCCCCAAATCTCAGTTTATTGACTCTTTAAGAACCTCTGTGGAGAAAATATTCTATTTCTACCTTTAGAGACTGAAGAGTAAAATCTAAATATCTAGTGATTTTTGGATGGGAGAGATTTTCAAAGTCATTCCTCAGAAGATGTGCACGGGCTGCTGGTAGAATCCACGTGTGTTCCTGGTGGGGAGGGAGGCTGGGGGCACAGATACGGTTCTCAAACTGACAACTTCAGAATCACACGGGACCTGGGGAGAACGCAGATGTGGGCCTGGGGGACCCTGGGGACAGGAGCTCCAGTGATTCTGGCAGCCTCCATGGTGAGGCTCCCCTTCCTCCAAGTCCAGGGCCAGTGGCTTCTTTTCATGGCCGCATGTACGGCGGCCCTGTATGTGCCGGGGGCTCATGGTGATATCAGAGTCCACTTTCTGGGGGTCCTGGTCATTGAGGTTTTCTTGTCCTTCTCTTTTACAGACCTCGGAAGAAATATTTCAGCACCTACAGAACATAGTGGACTTTGGCAAAAATGTCATGAAAGAATTTTTGGGGGAGAACTATGTTCATTGTGGGGTAAGTGATTTTTTTTTTAACAGTCTAAATTCACACACATGTTCTATACCAACAACCAATCAAAGTACCGACTTACCAATTTCAGCCTGGAAGTTTGTGCTTAAAGATAACCCTTCGCGTTACAGAGTTTCTAGGTAGTTTTCTCATTTGTTGCTCTGTGAGGTAACACAGCAGACAGTGCTGTTCCCCTTTTCTAGCTGAGAAACGTGAGGTTCAGAGATTCTTTGTCAGACCCTCACTTGCCAGGACCCCTGGTCTCCACCGATCTGCCCTCATGGAGGCATTTGGCTTGGTGAGAGCTCTCCAGTGAGGTCCAGGCAGCATCACTGAGCCCTTTGCCTCTGGTGGGCATCTTTGAGCAAGGTAGGGAGGAAAGGGGGCCCGCATGCTGGGAGATGTGACCCGGGCTTGTGGGAGGGCCCAGCTGAAGCCCACGTCAGGTGATGGCCTCTGCCTGCGGGTGGTCTGCACTGCTGGCTTTTTCTGGTCTCGGTAACCGAGAGGAGAGCCTGTTACAGGTGAGGTCTGCTGTTCGGACACTTGTGGAGGGGGCAGCATAAGAAGCCGCAGTGGAGTGGCCCTGCGATCCTAGCTGAACCCTCGAGGTGGCCTCGGGCCGTGCCTGGGACAGCCATTCTTGCATCTCAGCTTTGATCACCGCTGCTTCTCTGCTTCTGCTGGCCTTGCTGCTTGTCTTAGATCAGGGCCCTGAACAGACTAGCAGGTTTGTCATTTTGAACAGAGAGAGCACTACCTCTATTTTGGAAATTCTGTCCCTGTGTTCTGAGAAAACCAGTGCTAAGGAGGGTGAGTGACAGTTCCTTTGAAGCTCAAGGATCACCTGGCAAAGTAGAATTTAAATGGCTTTGACAGCAAAGCATCCTCTAGGAGGGTCCTTTGACCCTGCCGTGGGTGGTGCTGCGTTGGGACCCTTGGGCTGCAGTCTTCATGAAGGCTGGGGCCAGGGATCCTCTTCCAGGGTGGCCCAGAGCCATGGAGCTCATGGTGTGGTACCGGCCGTAGCCCAGGGGCCTCCGCCCTCCCAGCGTGGACTCCTGCAGACCCCCGAACCTCCCTGTGACTTGGCCCTGGCTCCCCCAGCACGTGATCTGAGAGGTGTCCGGGACACGGCCTGTCTGGAAATTGTGTCCGTCGTTTCCACGGCCTCCTGGTGGCTTCACAGGTCAGCCCTAGGCTATGTGGGACTACCCAGGGGCAAGGGTCACTGGGACCATCCCGTGGGCTGGCACGTACCACCCCTAATGAGGTCCCCAGCTGTCCCGGTGAGCTGTGAAAGCCTGAAACAACCTGGCTGTGAGAGTCCGAGTCTCTGAGCTGTCTGTGTGCTGGGTGCCACCTGCTTCCTGGCTTGGATGGTGTCTGACTAAGCGCAGGTGTGCCAACTCCCAGCTTCCTTCTTGGGGAGAGAACATGTTTGTCTGGCCAAGTGGGAGTGTTTCTCTGCCTCAGAGCACTTGGGGGCTCTAGATTTTTCTTCCAGGAAGGACCAGCGTTGAAGAAGGAGGGGGCAGAGCTTAGGATTCCAGTCAGCGCCAGCCTAGCAGGTGGGAACTGCATCTGGGTGTCCCCTCCCAGGGCCCAGGGCGCGTTCTGGCTCCAGGCTTGGTTCTGTTTGTCTACAGTGGATGGGGCTCTGGGCATGTGAATTGAGCCCACAGGGGTCACATTCCAGGAATATCCGTCCCGTTGACCTTCGTCCTCTGCATGGAGGCCCTGCCAGGGTGAAACACAACCTGCTTTTCCTGCAGGTGATTGTTGTGTCAAGAGAGGACCGCCACTCAGGCCTGGCGCAGTCCAAATGTGGGGTACGGAGCGCATCTCTGGCCCGCACAAGACCGTGTTCAGGCAAAAGTCAGCATGTGTAAATGGTGCTGTTTTCTCTGACTGATGTCATGAGCTAGGTGAAATGGAGCCCTGACGAGTGCCTCCCTGCTCTGTGTCCTGGGACAAGACCTGTCTAGCCCAGCGGTCAGAGAGCAAAGCTCAGACAGCGACAGACACACCCCTCGTGCCTCTGCCGCCTCCGGCCCCGCGGAGTTGGTTTGGGGACTAGTCTGGGCCGGCATTCTCGTGAGCTGGAGGTGAGGAATGGGGAAGAGGCTGCACCCCTTGTGCCTGCAGGTGTTTGTGTCTTAATTACAAGGGGCAGTTGAGAGCCTGATGGATTTTAGAAGGTTCGTCTCCCTTCCTGAGGTTGGATGCATTGGGCAGCTGGGACTTCGCATTTGAACTTGACGTGGGTGAGGGGATGCTCTTCTCCTGAGGGAGCTTCTAGAAGACGGGGGCCCCCTCCAGGCTGGCAGTCCTTTGTCCTCCTCTGCAGCTGTTCCTTCATCCCCTCCAGGGCAGATGCCTGTGAGCAGGGAAGCTGGTAGGGCCACGCCTTCCAAGTTACACGGTATGTGAGAGCAATTCTGTGGTCTTAATTATAATTCATCCTAAGTTAATACTTGGTGCAGGTGCTGGCCGAATGCCCTGCTGACGATCACTGTCTTTCCAGAGAGCTGTCTGTCTGTCAGGCAGGATGGCATGGTTCACACTGGTTCATGGATCTACTCAAGGGCTAGTAAATGCGGTGTGTGGACCTGAGACGTGTGTGTGGCTGCTGTGAGCCACAGCCTTGCCCTCGTGGTTGTGCAGGACCAAGGGCGTTTCCTTGAGTGAGGATCTTGATGCAATCAGTTCTGTGTCTTTCTCGCGCAGCACCTGTAATTTGCCATCTGGACGCTTCATATTTTTGGCTTCTTTAAAGTGGAGTGAGAACTTAGATTTTTGTGGGACGACCTCCTTGGCAGGGCAGCGAAGGGCCGTCTTGGGCACGTTCCTGTGACAGGGCAGTGATGGGCTGCCTCGGGTATGGCACGTGAGTGGACAGGATCGCCACATTCTCATTCTAGGCAGGACTCTTGCATCCCCTTGGGATTTCTTGAGAAGTCAGAATTCTGCAGCCCTGGAAATACCTGGGGAAGGTGGTGAGCAACGTGGATTACATACAGACTCTTAGTCTGGGAGACTGTAACAGCAAGGTGGAGAGAAGTTGCTCCTTTGCTTTTTGCCCGAACGCACCAAATCTTGGCCATCCTGAGTCCCGTGGCTGGTGGGCACCCAGGACGCCTCACCCAGAGACTAATACTCAGTCAGACCCCTTTCCTGGAGGTGCTTCTCAGGCAGGACTGTCTGAGGAGAGAGCTGTGAGGAGCTGTGTGCCGGCAGAGGACTGCCTCAGGCCCCTCCTCTGTGGTCCACGGGCACGTGGGGACAGAGGAGGAGCTGTGTGAGGAGGGCTCTGTAGAGACCTTAGTGCACAGAAATGTCAGTGTCTCTGCTTAATCTGGGCATGTCATTAAAATAACAAATCAGCCTTTATTCCTAAAGCCCCCACACTGATTATTTTTTTAAATGCAGTGAAATATACATGACAAAAGTTACCGCCATTTTTCAGTGTGCATTTCTGTGACATTGAGCGCATTCACATTGTTGTGCAACCCACCCGGAGCATTTCTTCTTTGTTCTTACAGGAAGTCGTTCAGCTGCCTTTAGAGTTTGTGAAACAGCTCTGTTTGAAGATACAGTGTGAAAGACCAGGTAAGGGTTTCTAACTTGCAGATTTATAATACTCAACTTGAAAAGTGTTTGATACTATTACTCATGGTAGGGAGACAGAGTTTGTAGGAATTCTTTGGCCAGGAACTTCATTACGAGGGGTAGACCTCCTAGGAATACAGTTCTGGGTGTCAGGTATGAAGGTCACCGCAGGGAATACGTGACCAAGAACTAATTAATAAAAATAAAACTGCATTTGGGAGCAGAGGGGGAACTGAAGGAGTTGGGGGAGACTTAGGGAAGGGAAGGCAGGCCATGGAGGGCTGGAGGAGTCCAAAGGACAACCGGAGTAGACCAGAGCCGCAGGGGTCCTAGAGGGGTGGCAGTTCTGCGGACCTTCTCCCAGAAGCTGGCACCACCCAGCCTGCTTATCCTCCTGAGATGAGGTGAGAGAATTGAATTTTTGTACCTCTCCTGTTACCTCTCGAGCTTCCCCGCATCACCATGGATGCCTTCCCCCATCCCCTCCTTGACCTTTCCCCGCCCCTCTTCACCCCATCACTACACATACCTTCCCCATGACCTCACACGTTTCCTCCTCAACACCTCACGTACCTTCTCTACCCTCGCTTGCTCGTGGCAGTAAAAGCACTAACCATGTCACTGTCAGAGGCAAGGTGTGAAATCTATGCTGTTGAGGGAGGCAGTGCCTCCTCCTGTCGCTCAGCCGGGCAGTCGGGGTGTGCAGTGAGCCAATATACAACTTCTTCCATGTTTGATTAGGACAAACAATGAAAGAAAGGAAACAGGACACTGCGCCCTGGAGTCCCCGGTTTGGGGAGCAGGGAGGAGCAGGCCTGGATGTGTGGGAAGGGCCGATGAGGGGCAAGAGGCAGCAGCCTTGCTCTCAGCCTGGACTGTGTCTTGGCTCTGTTGTCCTTAACCAGACAAGGACAGACGGAGACCTGCTGTGGTTTCACCATCTCGCTTCTCAGCCTCTCAGCATCATTAGTTCTGTAATCAGCAGTTACACCACGTAAGAGTAATAAGGCTGTCCCCTGTTGTAATAATGCCTCATAGCCAGCCTCGTTATGTGGAAGGAGGAAAGGTGACTTCTCCGGGGACCTAGAGGCCCTTTCTTATGTGACTGTCTACCACGTAGCCTTCAGCAGGAAGTGCGAGGAAATGTTGGTGTTTGAGTGTTCTGGAGGAAGCTTTACAAGGAAGGTGCTACTGCCTCCTTCTCCTCTGAGCTCCTAGGTTAAGGGGGTCAAAGAATTGGGAGGCACTTCCTAAGATCACCCTCACTTCTAACTGCATGTTTGGGGGGTCTCCGAGACCAACCTCAAGTCTGATAATTTGCTAGAAGGGCCGACAGAACTCATGCTTATGGCTCATCACAGCTAAGGGCCAGATTAAAGCCAGCTGAAGGAAGACACGTCAGGGTTTTTGCTGGGACTTGGGCATACAGACACAGGTGACCACCTGTGTGGCCGCCCTCAGCCTCCAGACCCTCTGGAGGTCAAGCTGATACGACAGGGCTCAACCCCTCGCCGTGAATCCCAGTGTCCCACTCGCGTCACTCTGGGTCCCCAGGTAAACTCCTCAGGCAGGACATTCCAAGGCCTAGAGGGGACCTCCCAAGGCTGATCCTTCCCCGACAGGAGTCTGCCGAGTTACTGCAGCATCACCTTGTCTGCCATCACTAAGCCTCGGCTATTTCCCTTGCTCTGTTTTCCAGAATCTCGCTGTGACAAGGACCTGGACACTCTCAGTGGTTACGCTCTGTGCCTTCCCAATTTAGCCAGACTTCAGACCTACCGTTTTACAGAGCACCGGCCCATCCTGTGTGTAGAGATCAAGGTGAATTTTTGTCGAGGGGGAAATGGTGCGGGGAGAGGGAACAGATAGGTCCAGGCTGTGAAGCCCTGAGTCCTCTGCCTGGAGTCTGCTTTCCCACAGAAATTCCTGGTGCTCCCCACCAGGGCCGATGATCGAGGCAGCCCCCCCACCCCTTCCTGCTCCCTCTGTGCATGCCACTTGGACCTCGCCACTCTGGTTCCTCCCACTGGCCGGACCTGAGGGGCATGGCTTCCCAGACCCCCAGATTTAGGCTCTTTTCCCGGTGTTATGACAGGGAGCCAGCCAGGGACAAGCCCTACCGATGGCCACCAGAGGGAAGCATGGGTTCTGCCGTGTAGGTCCCCAGGCCGCCTCCTGACCTCCTTCCCTGCTGTGCCTACTTGGCTGCTTGTGACACTCCATGCCATGCTCCAGGAGCTCGGTTTGAGGGTCGCCCTTTAGACCAGGTGACACTCTGTTCCTTTGCTTCTCAGGAGCATGCTCCGGAGAGAGCTCCCAGAGGCATGCAAGTCTTTATGACTCCTCAGTCCCTGGTTTGTCGTGGCCAGGAGTCCTGAGGCGGGGGCCACAAAGGGCATGATTGTCTAACAGAGGGCAGTGATTGCTGGAACAGCGCCAAGCCGCTGCGTCAGCTCTGAGTCTCTCTCAGGAAGCCTCCCCGATGACCCAGGCCATTGTTTGTTTCCTTCCTCCAAATCTCTGAAGGTGACCTCTGGGTCACGCTCTTGGCCCTGGGCACTCACACCCCTGGGTGTTAAGTATGGACTGACGCTCTGCTTCTCTGACCAGAGGGTGAGTGTCGCAGGCATCACAAATGATGGGCAGCGTGATCTTCAGTGCCCTCCATGCTAGGCACTGGCCTTTAGTACTGTATGTGCCCAGGAACCATGGCTTTTGTTTTTTCAAAGGATGAGACAGGTTTGCGGAGCAAATTAAAGCACACGTTTTTGGCTTGTATTGTTTGTTGTATGACGGGGAGGTGATTAGGTTTCTTCATTGATTTCTGCTTGGAGGCGGTACTGGGGATTGAAGCCCTGGCCTCTTGGATGCTGGGCATGCGCTCTACCACTTGAGCTACACCCTTCCCCAGCCATGGCTTTTTAAAAGGCAACCAGAGTTCCAGATGTTCTGGGTGCCCAGCAACCGTCAGATACGGGCACCTTCCTGTTAACGCATTCTTGTCAGAGGGACCAAGGGTTCTGCTTCCTGGAGCTGGGAGCTTGGGGCAGGTCTGCCCTCCTCGAGTCTTTCCAGTCTTGTTCTGTAATGAAACCACAAAGCTACCCCGTGTTGTACGTTGTCAGGCCAGCAGCCGGGGCATCACTGTTTTTCCTCAGTGAGAGTTCTGGCCTTGGATTCTCTAGCGGCAAAGAGATGCTCATATGCTGCGATGAGGGAAGCATCCATTCCCACTGGGGACTGAAGACAGAAGCGGCTTTTGGGAATGTTTTAGCTGTCACTTGCTGATTCTCCTGGGGAGTTGTAGTTCATTATCCAGTATTTAGTTGTATGCCTACCTAAAGGTATGTGATTTCTCTCTAAGCTGTTTTTCTTCCTTACTTGTTTCTTTTGCAGCCAAAATGTGGGTTTATCCCTTTCTCCAGTGATGTTACGCATGAGATGAAGCATAAGGTGTGTCGTTACTGCATGCACCAGCACCTCAAGGTGAGAAGTGTCGCCCAGCAGGGCTCCCTCCCTGCGCAGAGCCTTGTGGTGAATGGCTGGGCCCGAGGGGTGACCACCTTGAGTTTTTAAAGGAGTATCATAAAGTGCAGATATTATTTACTTTTTCTTTCATTTTTTTTCTCAGTTGAGATATTTACATATCCTAAGATTTACCCTTTTAAAGTGCATAATTCAGTGGATTTTAGTCTGTTCATAATGTTGTGCAACCATCACCACTATCTCCATTTTTCTTCCTTTCTTTCTTTAATGGATGTACTGGGGATTGAACCGAGGACCTCGTGCATGCTAAGCACATGCTCTCCCACTGAGCTGTACCCACTCCCCTTTCACCACTGTCTAATTCCGGAACATTCCGTCACCTCGAAAAAGAAGTCCTGTGCCCATTAACAGTCTCTCTCCAATCCCCTATCCTGAGAGCCCCTGGCTACTACCTATTTCTGTGGATTTGCCTACTCTGGGCACTTCATATAAATGGAATCACATAAATTATGGCTTTTTATGATTTCCTTAGCATGCAGTTTTTGAGGTTCATACATGTTGTAGCATTTATCAACACTTCCATTTCTTTTATGGATGGAATATGAACAATATTCCGTTTTGTGGGAACATTTTGTTTATCCACTCATCTGTTGATGCACATTTGGGTGGTTTCCTTTGGTGACTGTGAATAATGCTGCTGTGAACATGAGTGTCAATGTACATGTTTGAGTCCTTGTTTTCAGTTCTCTTGGAGAGACTCCTAGGAGTGGAAGTGCTGGGTCTTAGGGAAGTTGGGTTTAAGTTTTTGAGGAAATGGCAGACTGTCTTCCACAGCTACAGCGCCATTTTATATTCCCACCGGCCAGTGTATGAGGGCTCTAAGTTCTCCACATCCTCACCAGCAGCCTCACTATTGATTGCCCCTGTTTGTGATGATAGTCATCCTAATGGATGTGAAGTAGTACGTCATGTGGTTTTCATTTGCATTTCTCTAACAGCTAGTGCACTATGTTGAGCATCTTTTCATGTGCTTATTGGCCATTTATATATCTTCCTTGGAGAAATGTCTATTCAAATCCTTTGCCCATTTTTGAAATGAGTTGGGTTGTTTTTTTTTTTAAGTTGTAGAGTTTTAAGGGTTCTCTGTATATTTTGGATATTAATCTCTTTATCTGATACATGATTTGCAAATTTTTTTTTCCCATTCTGCTGATTGCTTTTTTAACTCTGTTGATAGTGCACAAAAGTTTTAAAGTTTGGTTAAGTCTAATTTGTCTTTTTTTTCTTTTGTTGACTATGCCTTTGGTGTCTTATCCAAGAAATCTTTGCCTAAACCAAGGTCATGAAGCTTTTCTCCTATGTTTTCTTCTAAGAGTTTTATAGTTTTAGCTCTTATGTTTAGGTCTTTGATCCATTTTGAGTTAATTTTTGTATCTGATGTTAGGTAAGGGTCCACCTTCATTCTTTTGCATGTGATGTTCAATTTTCCCAGCACCATTTGTTGGAAAGACTGTCATTTCTCCATTGAATGCTCTTGGCGCCCTTATCGAAGATCTGTTGGCCACATATATATGAGGGCTTATTTCTGGCCCTCTGTTGTATTCTATTGGTCTATATGTCTGTCCTCGTGCCAGTATCACATTCTTTTGATAGTTCTGTCTTTGTAAGAAGTTTTGAAATCAGGAGTGATAGTCTTCTAGCTTTATTCTTCTTTTTCAAGATTCTTTTGGCAATTTGCATCCCCTTACAATTACATATGAATTTGAGAATTGGATTTTTCATATCTGCAGAAAAATAGACTATTGGAATTTGGACTGAAATTGGAACAATCTGTAGATCACCTTGGTAGTATTACCATTTTAATATTAAGTCTTATAATCCATGAACACAGGCTATCTGTCCATTTATTTGGGCTTGCTTTAATTACTTTCAGCAACGTTTTATAGTTTTCAGTGTACAAGTCTTTTACCACTTTGGTTAAATTTATTTCTTGATATTTTATTCTTTTGGAATATTGTAAATGTGGTTTTAAATGAAATTGTGTCCTTAATTTCCTTTGTGGTTTGTTAATTGCTGGTATATAGAAACACAACTAATTTCTGTGTGTTGATCTTGTACCTTACGACTTTGCTGAATTTATTTATTAGCTTTAGTAGCTTTCTTATGGATTCTTTGGAATTTTCTGTGTATAAGATCATGTTACCTGTGAACAGGGTTTTACTGCTTCCTTTCCAATTTAGATGCCTTTAGCTTCACAATTTCCAAGAAACCAGCTGGTATTTTTGATAGGGATTCCATTGTGCTGCAGATTACTATGTGGGGAAGTATTGCCACCTAGCAGTTAATACTATGTGAACACAGGATGTTTTTCCATTTAGATCTTTAATTTCTTTCAATGATGTTACATAGTTTTCAGTGTATAAGTCTTATACTTGTTTTGTTATTTATTTCTAAGTATTTTATTTTGGGGGATGCTGTTGTAAGTGGAATTTTAAAAAATTTCACTTTCAGGCTGTTCATTGCAGAAAGACAATTTTTTAAATATGTATATTTAATTGTGATGAAATACACTTAACATAAAGTTTACCCTCTTAACCATTAAGGGTACAGTTTAATGGCATGAAGTACATTTACATGTTGTGCAATTGTCACCACTATCCATCTCGAGAAATTTTTTCATCTTATAAAACTGAATCTCTACACCTATTAAACAACTCCACATTTCTTCCTTTCTTAAGCCCCTGGCAACCACAATTGCACTTTCTGTCTCTATGAATTTGACTACTTTAGTTACTTCATTTATATGGAATCATACAGTCCTTTTGTGACTGGCTCATTTCACTTAGTGTTATGTTCTCAAAGTTCATCCCAGATATAGCTTATGTCAATTTCTTTCTTATTTAAGGCTGAATAATAGTCCATTGAGTGTATATACCATATTTTGTTTATCTGTTCATACATTGGTGCATACTTGGGTTGCTCCCATTTCTTGGCTGTTGTGAATAATGCTTCTATGAACATGAGTCGTACACATATTTCTTTGAGACTCTGCATTCAATTCTCTTGAGTATGTGTCCAAAAGTAGAACTGCTGGATCATATGGTAATTCTTTTTTAAATTATGAGTACAGTATTAAATAGAAGTAGTAAGAATAGACATCCTTATGTTGTTTCTGATCTTAGAGGTAATGCTTTCAGTTTTTCAATATGGAGGGTAATGTTCTCACTGTGAGTCTGTCAAAGATATTCTTTTAGGGTGTTTTTCTTTGTTTTTTGTGTTTTTAATCATGGAAAGAGTTAGATTTTGTTAAATGCTTATCCTGCATCTATTGAGATGCTCACGAGATGTTTTCCTCTTTCTGTTCATATGCTGTATTATATTCATTGATTTTCATACATTGGACCACCCTTGTATTTGACTGATAAATCCCACTTGGTGATAGGTGTATAATTCCTTTAATATGCTGCTGAATTTCTTTGTTAGTTTTTGTTGAGGATTTTTCTTGAGGGATATTTGTCTGTAGGTTTCTTTTCTAGTGACGTTTTTGTTTGGTTTTGGTACCAGGGTAATAACTGGCCTCACAGAATGAGTTAAGAAGTATTTTCCTTCTTTTATTCTTTAATTTTTCAGAAGAGCTTGAGTATTGGTGTTGATTCTTTAAGCATTTGGTGGAATTCAGTAGCAAAGCCGTCCTGGGATTTTCTTTGTTGAAAGCTCTTTGATTTCTGATTCAGTGTTTTGTTATCATTTGGTTTAGATTCTCTATTTCTTATTGAGTAAGTTTTGGTAGCTGTGTGTTTCTAAAAATTTGTTCATTTCATTTAACTTGTTGGCATATAATTGTTCACAGCATTCCTCTAAAATTTTTTTTATTTCTGCAAGGTTGGTAGTCATGTTCTTTCTTTCATTCCTGATTTTAATCATTTGAGTCCTGTTTTTTCTTTTCTTGATCTAGCCACGAGATTGTCATAATTGATCTTTTCAAAGGAAGAACTTTTCGTTTCGTTTCTTTTCCCAGTTTTTCCCGCTCTGTTCTCTGTTTCATCTATCTCTGCTCTAATCTGTTATTTCTGTCCCTGTGTTTGCATTTAGTTTGGTCTTACTTTTCTAGTTTTTTAGGGTAGAAAATTAGGTTATTGATTTGAGGTCTTTCTTCTTTTTAATATAAGTGTCTATAAGTATAAATTTCCCTCTGAGCACTGCTTTCTCTGCCTCTCATTAATTTTGGTATGTTGTATTTTCGTTTTCATTTATTTCAGTTTATTTTCTGATTGCCCTTTTAATGTCTTATTTGACTCACTGATGATTAAGAATCTGTTTACTTTTCACATATTTGTGAGTTTCTCAAATTTCCTTTTGTTACTGATTTCTAATTTCATTCCACAGAGTTTGGAGAACATTTACACGATTTCATGTGTTTTTAAATTTATTGAGACTTGTTTTGTGGTTTAATATACAGTTTCTCCTTAAGAATGTTTCATGTTTACTTGATTAGAATATATTCTGCTGTTGTTGGCTGGCTTGTTCTATAGATATTTGTTTAGTCTAGTTAGTTTTATAATGTGGGTCAAGTCTTCTATTTCCTGGTTGATTTTGTGTCTTGTTGTTCTGCCTATTAATTTAACTTCTTAGCCTAAACAATCTAGCTCAATTAGTAACAATTTAATTTCCATGGTATACACAAACTCTGCTCCTATAAAGCCTTGTTGCCTTCCCCCTCTGTTGTACTGTTATCGTCATGTAAATTACATCCTGTATGCTTGTCAATACAGATTGTAATAATTGGCTTATGCCATTCAGGGGACATTCTATGGTTTAAATCAGGGAGGAGAAAAAGTTACAAACAAAATCTATTATCCTTTATGTTTACCTATGTAGTTCCTTTACCAGTGCTCTTTAGTTCTTCAGGTGGATTTGAGTTACTGTCTGTGCCCTTTCATTTCAGCCCAAAGGATTCCCTGTAGCATTTCTTGTAGGGCAGGTTTTGCAGCAACACATTT